ACACCTTCCACATGTGGCGCTTCTACAACTTCGCCCGGATGCGGAAAGGGGCCGACTCCTTCCTCCTGGAGTCCAACTACAACTACGTCAACTGGTGGTCCCTGGCCCAGAGCTGTGTCATTGTCCTCTCTGGGGTGCTGCAACTCTGCTTCCTCAAGCGCCTCTTCCACACGCAAACCTCGGGCAGCCACAAGTGCTAGAACAGGGCAGGGACCACCCTGCAGAGCCTGCCTGCCACTGTCCCACCATAGAGTCTGAGGAAATGCTGGATCCTGCTTCCAGGAGGAGGCTGCAAAGTTCCCCCTGCTCCTGCCTCATCTCTAGCCCTGACACCATCCCAAGAAAAGTCAAAGGCCGCACTGTCACCTGAGTTCTCTGTGGCTTTGCCACGCTTCTATGTCTTAATGGGCTTTTTCTACCACACTCACAATAAAAGAACCCCTGGCAAAGTCTGGGGAGCGACTGCCGCCTGCTGCTGCTATCCAGTGTCTGTGAGCCTAAACACTGCTCGGCCCTCCCCCTCCCTCCCTCTCCCTCCCTCCTTCCTGAAGCTCATCCTCAGCCTCCGAGGTTCCCCCCAATCTCATCAGTCCCCCCACACACACCCCAGTGTGTCACATTCCCCCCAGGAGGGGTGAGAACCGATTCCTCCTGGGCCTCCACACCAGAAAACAGGCACTGAAAAAAGGAACAGGCTTTATGTGACAGGGCTGGGGCCAGGTCCCCTCCTCCTGTGCCAGCAGCATCCCCCTGAGGGCCCTGGGGCTCTGTGCTGGCAGCTCCCCACACCTCCATCCCATTCCAGGTGTGCTTCCCGCACCCACGGTGCAGGACAACGTCCGTTCAACCCCGGAACACTCACAGAGCATGAGGGTCCCTGGGGTCCCCGAGGGTCCCTTATGTCAGCGTGTCCTCGTTCCGCACGTACTCCCCGACGTCGGCCTGGTGGAACACCACGATGGCCAAGGGGTCGACCTTCCGGCACTCCTGCGTGGACCTGGCAGCCACCCCGAAGCCCTGGGGGACGAAGGGGAGGTGAGGGAGGTCGCCCACCTCGCGTCCCCCGCAGCCCCGGCGGCGGCCAGGCGCTCACCAGCGGCACGTCGGCCATGGAATACACCACGACACCCTGGTACTGCGCCGTGCTCTCCGTGATGCGGCCCAGCCCCGACTTCAGCACGTGGTTCCCGTAGAGGAAGGACTGCTCGGAGCCCGGCTTCACCCACACCTTGTACTGCGAGAGAGGAGCAGAGCCGTGAGGGGCCGCGGGGCCGCCACGGGGCCGCTGCAGGCCGGCACCCACCTTGGCGTAGGGCGCCAGGAAGTCCAGGGCCGTGACGCTGAGCCGGAACTTCTGGGACTTGGTGAACTTGCCGAAGCAGGTGCCCGGTGCCACCAGGCTCTCCCGGGGGATGCTGGCCGCCAGCTTCAGCAGCTTCTCACTGCGGGAGGGGAGCAGGGCAGCGCTGGGCCGGGCCCCGCGCCGCGGGCCGCCCGCTCCCCGCGCCGCCCGGCCTCACCTCAGGTAGTACACGCGGTCCCGGTGCAGGCGGAAGCAGTAGGTGCCATCGGGCCGGTCCACCAGCAGCTGGATGTTCTCCCCGATGCTGCAGGGCCGCACCCCGTGAGCCCGGCCCCGCCACCTCCGGGGCTCCCGTCGGGTCCCCGGTGACACCACCCCCTCGGTCCCCCCTGGACTCCCCGCTCCCCCGGATCCAGCCCGCGCAGCCCTCCCGGTGCCCATCCCTTCTCCATGCCCGGTCCCGCCCTGTCCCCGGTGCCCGTTCCTCCCGGTCTCCGTCCGGGTTCCCGTGCCCGATTCCCGGCATCTCGCCGGCCCAGCCCTCCCGATCCCCCGGTCCCGGCCCCTCACTATTTCCCGAGCTTCTCGAACACCGCCCGCGTCTCCGCCTCCGTGAGCGGCCGCATCTCCCGCGCCGCGCACGCCGGGCCACCGGGACCGGATGTGACGGAGCCGGGACCGGCGGTAGCGGAAGTGACGAAGCAGGAACCGGCGGGCCCGGAGGTGACGCGGCGGCCCCGGCGATGGCGGCGGCGGCGGCGGAGGAGGCGCGGCTGCTGGCCTGGCTGCGCGGCCCGGCTGCGCCCGGCGGCCCCGAGCTCGCCGCTTATGTGTCGGAGCTGGCGGCGCTGGGGCTGGCGGAGCTGGGCCGGGAGCCGGCGCGGTTGGCGGCGGAGCGGGCGCGGGTCGGGGCCGAGACTCGCCGCCTCGCCTTCGAGCACTACCGAGCTTTCATCCGCTCCGCCGAGTGCACCGGCCGCGCCGGCCGCGGCTTCGGCGGCATCGAGAGCCGGCTCGGCAGCCTGCTGGAGCGGCTGCCCGCGCTGCAGGACGCCTGCCGGTGCGGGACGGGCACCGGGCATCGGGAGCGGCGGGCAAGGCGCGGGTGGGAACGGGGCAGGATGGGCCCGGGAGGGACCGGGCTGGGCAGCGAGAGGTCCCAGGGCTGAGCCCACTAAGGGCCGAGCCGGCTGGGGCTGGGCAGGAGGCAGCGCCGGGAGCGGCCGGGGCTGGGGGAAGGGTCCCCGGAGCCAGCCGCGGCGGGGAGGGCTCGGCTGCTGATGCCATCCCGGCCCCGCAGGACCTTCATGCGCGACGCCGAGGCCATCGCCTGCAGCCGGCGCATGAACAGCCTGACCCTGAACCGGCACACGGAGATCCTGGAGATCCTGGAGATCCCGCAGCTCATGGACACCTGTGTCCGTAATGGCTACTACGAGGAGGCGCTGGAGCTCACGGCCTACGTGCGCAGGCTGGAGAGGAAGCACAGCAGCATCCCCGTTATCCAGGTGAGCCCTGCACCCTTCACCCCGTTACTGAGGTGAGCCCCGCGTTGTCCCACCCTGGGATCCGGGAGAACCCTGTGCTGACCCGAGTGAACCCCGCGCTGAACGAGGGCTCTCTGTTGCCCAGGGCATCGTGGAGGAGGTGCGCCAGTCAGCCCAGCTGATGCTGAACCAGCTCATCCAGCAGCTGCGCACCAACATCCCTCTGCCCGCCTGCCTGCGCGTCATCGGCTTCCTGCGCCGCATGGACGTGCTCACCGAGGCCGAGCTGCGCGTCAAGTTCCTGCAGGCGCGGGACGCCTGGCTGCGCTCCATCCAGGCCTCCATCCCCGACCACGACCCCTACGTGCACATCACCAAGACCATCGAGGCCTGCCGCGTGCACCTGTTCGACATCGTCACCCAGTACCGCGCCATCTTCTCTGACGAGGAGCCGCTGCTGCCGGCCGAGGCGCCCGGCGAGGGGGCCATCTTCCACGGCTGGGTGCTGCAGAAGGTCTCCGAGTTCCTGCGGACGCTGCAGCGCGACCTGGAGCGCGGGGTGGGCGGCCGGCTGGACTCGCTGCTGGGGCAGTGCATGTACTTCGGGCTGTCCTTCAGCAGGGTGGGCGTGGATTTCCGTGGGCAGCTGGCCCCCCTCTTCCAGCGCGTGGCTGCCGAGGCCTTCAGGAAGGCGGTGGAGGAGGCGGTGGAGAAATTCCGGGAGGAGATGAATTCCTACACGCTGATCTCCGCGCCAGCCGTGCTGGGGGGCGGTGCAGGAGTGCCGGTGCCCACAGCCCAGCCTGGCACGCTGCAGCCCCCCATGGTGCTGCTGGACTTCCCACCCCTTGCCTGCTTCCTCAACGGGCTCCTCGTTGCTTTCAACGACCTGCGGCTCTGCTGCCCCATTGCCCTGGCACAGGACGTCACAGCCTGCCTGGACAGTGCCCTTGGTGAGGTGAGTCCAGGGGATGAAGCTGGGACTTGTCCTGCGAGACCATGGGGCAGGTTTGTTCTGAGTGGGTTGGGATCCTCCAGTCCAAGCGCTCCCCCAGCACTGCCAAGGCCACTCCTACCCCATGTCCTCAAGTGCCATGTCCACACAGCTGTTACATTTCTTCAGGGATGGGGATTCCAACACTGCCCAGTGCCAGGACTGGACAGTTCTTTCCATGAAGAAATTTTCTTAATATCCAGCTTCCCGTGGCACAACTTGAGGCTGTTTCTTGTTGTCTTGTCCCTTGTTCTTTGGGATCAGAGCCCAGCCTCGCCCTGGCTGCCCCTCCTGCCAGGGAGTAGTGGAGAGCAGCAAGGTCTTCCTCAAGCCTCCTTTTCTCCAGGCTGAGCCCCCCTGGCTGCTCCTTGTGCTTAAGCTCCTTCTCCAGCTCCGTTCCCTTCCCTGGACACACTCCAGCCCCGCAGTGTTTATCTCAGCGTGTCCCAGAATGCCCAGCACTGGAAGATGGGCAGAGCCCTGGGCCTGTGGCCACGCTGTTGCTGGTACAAGCCAAGTGCCACTGGCCTCCTTACCCACCTGGGCACGTGGCTGTCATCAGGTGACCCATCTGCCTCTCTCTTTCCCTAGGTGACCAAAATCATCCTGGCCTTCCACCGTGCTGAGGAGGCGGCTTTCAGCGGGCGGGAGCAGGAGCTCTTTACCCAGTTTTGCACAGCCTTCCTGGAGGACCTGCTGCCCTACCTGAACCGCTGCCTCCAGGTGCTTTTCCCTCCAGCACAGATCGCACAGGCACTGGGTGAGATCTCGGGTTTGGTTTTCGTTGCAGGGGGAGGACGCGCTTCTCCCTGGCACTGAGCGGGCCCTGCCCTGCTCTCGCCCCCTCCTGGGGTCTCGTTGCCTGCAGATCCCCTGACCCCTCTCTCCCCATCCCCAAGGTGTTCCCCCCACGCAGCTGCAGCGTTTCGGCCGCCTGGGCCGCATCGACGTGGCCGCGCTCAGGGAGCCGCTGGCTTTCCTCCTTCCACCGGCACCGGGAGAGGAGAAGCCGTCCCCGGAGACCGCCCCGGACCCGGAGGGGGAACACGCGGCCGTGCCCTCCGAGCCCCCGGAGAGCCCCTCCGGGGCCGCTGCTGCGCTGCCGGGTGCCGCGGTGGCCACGGGGTAACCGTGCCTCGGCGGGGCCCGCCCGTGTCCCCCGGAGGGGCCGCCAGGGGGCGCAGTGGCGGCGGGGTGCGCGCGCACGCGGTGCGCCATGGCGGCGGCGCTGGGGCGGGCGGCGGGACGGGCCCTGCCGGGACGGGCCCTGCCGGGACGGGCCCCGGTGCTCCGGGTCCCGCCGCTCCCGGCCCCGCCGCTCTCGGCCCGCGGCTGCGGACACGCGGCGGGGTGGGACCGGCGGGAGCGCTCCTACTGGCGGGCGCTGCGGCGGCGGGTGCTGGGCCCGCCCGTGCCGCCGTTCGCCGCCCCGGTGCAGGTGGGAGCGCCGGTGCTGCGCGGCGCCGCCGCCGCCGTGTCCCCGGAGCAGCTGGGCGGCCCCGAGCTGCGGCGGCTGGCGGCGGCGCTGGCGGCAGGGCTGCGGGGCCGGCCGTGCCTGGGGCTGAGCGCTCCGCAGCTCGGGGTGCCGCTGCGGGTGTTCGCCGCGGAGCTGCCGCCCGCCCGCTGCGCCCGGTACCCGCCGGCGCTGCGCCAAGCGCACCGCATCGAGCCCTTCCCGCTCCGCGTCCTCGTCAACCCCGCGCTCCGCGTCCTCGACAGCCGCCTCGTCACCGGCCCCGAGGGCTGCGCCAGCATCCACGGCTTCTCCGCCTACGTCCCGCGGCACTGGGCCGTCCATGTCTCCGGTATGGACCGAGTGTCCACTGTCCCGGGTGGGAACCGCACCTGCCCCTCTCTCACACGGTCCCCTTCTCTTCCCCGTTTCCCGCAGTCTCTCCCGGGTCCCCCAACGCTCACACGGGTCCCTCAATTCTCTGATGGGTTCTGTTCTCTCCCGGGCCCCACCATTCTCTCACAAATCTCACCACACACCGGTCCCCGCTCTCACAGATCCTCCCACTCACATGGGTCCCCTTTTCTCCCCTTAATCACCCCCCAAACCCACTGCTATCCTGGCTACAGGTGTGGATGAGCTCGGGGTGCCGGTGAGCTGGGAGGCCTCGGGCTGGGCTGCCAGGATTGTCCAGCATGAGGTGGACCACCTGGACGGGATCCTCTACATCGACCGCATGGACCCCCGCACCTTCACCAACGTGGGCTGGATGGAGCTGCTGGACTGACCCTGGTGAAAGAACCAGCACAGCTCTGGGGGCTCCCACTCAGCTTTATTGTAGCCAATACAGACCTGTGGCCTCAGCGTGGCTCCGGCCCTTCCTGCCCACCGGTGTGCACAGGGAGACAGCCGAGGTCTGCCCCACACTCCCTCGGGCACCAGGAATCCCTCTGTGGGTCTAGGAACAACCTAACCTGCTGCCAAATCTGTGCAGGGGAGAGGCAAAGGGGGATCCTCTCCCCTGGGGCTTGTTTGGGGTTCATGGCCACAGTGTGGGCAGCAGCAGGACTGAGGGGAGCCCAGGGACTGCACAGGGGGTGTGGGCTGGTGGGTGTCATCAGCTGTTCCATCCAAGCGGCCCCTGCTGTAGGCACAAATCCCTGTCTGGGATGGCCGGAGCGTGAGGAACCTCTATCCCCTCAGAACAGGCAGAGGCCTTGGCCCTGGGTCACTGCATTTTGGGGGGGTGGGGGGCTGGGCTGAGCCCCCTGGTTAAGGGCAGAGCCTTGGGGAGTGGCTGGGCACTGGCTGAAGCTCTCAGATTGTTTTTATTTTCATATAAACAAGACAGAACCCAAAGCAGCATTAAGTTAAAAAATAAAAAAAAGAGCAGGAAGAAGAGTGGAGCGCAGCCAGGGGGGGACCCGGCCGCCCATGCTCAGACCCACCCCCGTAGTGTGAGCCCCCCGGGCCGTGTCCCCGCGCCTGCCGGGCGCTGCAGTGCGATGGGGCAGGAGCGAGCGAGCACGGGTCGGTTTGGCACCGCCGGGGAGGGGGGCACAGTGGGGCCTGCAGCTGCCCCAACCCCACACCCCCCGTGCCCCCCTCAACCTTCCTGTCCAAAGTCCTCCGTGAATTTCTTCACTTTGAGGAGATCCTCGACATTGACGGTGGGGCGGGTGGTGGCCAGCGAGCGCAGCATGTCTGACTGCAACACAGGTGGGTGGGCACGGGGCTCAGACCATGGGCGTGGGATAGGGACCCCCATGGCAGTGGGGCAACTCTGCCCCATGGCAGCAGCACTGACTGCAGGTGGGAGCTGCCTGGCAGAGCCAAGGCCCCTTCCTGTCACCCAGCCATCCTCCAGGGGACTCAGGACTCCAGGCAGGTAGACTGAGAGTTTGCCCACCCCCAGGAGCCACAGCCCTGCCTGACCCTTGGCCTGGAGGATGAACAGGGAAGTGGCCAGGCCAAAGCTGTGGAGGGGACACTCACCATGCAGACAGTGGGCTCCATCAGCTTGTCACTGGGCACCTCCATCCAGGTCATCTCGATGGCCCCAGGGTCACCGGGCGAGCACGGCGTCAGGAGATCATCCACGAGGGCACCGGGGGTGGTGCGGGAGGGGCCGCAGACCTGCGCAGAGCCACGGCATGTGGCACAGAGCTCGGGGTGGGGGGACAGAAGCCACAGTGCCCAGCCCTCCCCCAGGACCGTGGCAGCCCCCACTCACCTTCTTGAAGTGCGTGGCCGACTGCACCTTGCGCACGGGCTGCATCAGGGCGTCCCGCACGATGATGCTGATGTCGGCCCCTGAGTAGCCGTCGGTCTTGCGGGCGAGCTCCTGGATGTTGGCGTCCGTCAGGGAGTGCGGGGTGTTCCCCAGGTGCAGCCGGAACATCTGGGCCCGTGCCATCTCCTCGGGCAAGGGGATGTAGATCCTCTTCTCAAACCTGGGGGGCATGAGGGGTGAGCCCCACTGCCAGGCCTGCTATGGGGCTGGCACAGGGGGCTGCGTGTGGGCTCACCTTCTCCTGATGGCTGAGTCCAGCACCCAGGGGATGTTGGTGGCACCCAGCACCAGGATCCCGTCGCTGCTGTTTCCCACACCTGCAGGCAGATGGCTCAGAACAATCTCCAGGGATTCTCTGAATCCCCAGGTTGTGGCTGCCTCGTCCTGCTCCCACCCATCCCTGGGACGAGCCCCCACCCACCTTGCATCTGCACCAGGAACTCGGTCTTGATGCGCCGGGCTGCCTCACTCTCGTTCTCGTTGCGGGAGCCACACAGTGAGTCCACCTCATCGATGAAGATGATGGAGGGCTTGTGCTGCCTTGCCAGCTCAAACAGGTTCTTCACCAGCCTGGGAACAAAGCAGGGGATGGGGTCCCCGCTCAGAGACCCTCCTCAGCACCACCATGGCAGCCCCACGTTCCTCCCATCCTGGGAACCCCATGCTGGCAAGGGAAGTGCCACATCAGGGGCTGTGGGGCCCCTCAAGGGGCTGTGCTCTCCCCTGGACGCTGCTGGCAATTAAAGTCTAATTATAGGGTACCAGAAATTAATAATGCAGAGTTAAGTGTAATTATGACTTGCTCACAGCCTGGCAAGGGTGAGCCCTCCTCGAAGTGAGCTGTAAATGAATTCTGAGCAGAGACAGATGGGAAATCTTCAGGTAAGAGCTGCAACTCTGGAGAGCCCCAAAGCTGCCCCAAGCTGAAGCATGAGAGCAGTTAATCAAGACAAGGAGACAGAATCCAGTTAAGTCTTAGAAGACCCCAGCTTCAAGTTGCTGTTGGACTAAGAGGTCTGTAAAGATGGGGGGGGCACAGGCAGTGAGGGAAGAGGCCCAGGGATTGCTTTGTTCAGACTCTCTGAAGGCACCAGCTCCCAATTCTTTAACATCCCCGTTACTGGGGCTCCCTCGTGCTGGTGGCACGTGGCCATGTCCCTGCTGCCAACTTACTTCTCACTCTCCCCCAGCCACTTCGACATCAGGTCAGAGGATGACACAGAGAAGAAGGTGGAGTTGTTTGCCTCAGTGGCCACAGCCTTGGCCAGGTAGGACTTGCCAGTGCCAGGTGGCCCGAAGAGCAGGATCCCGCGCCAGGGCGTGCGCTTCCCTGCGGCAGAGACCAGGGTCAGGCCTCCCCATCCCCGCACCCAGATCCCTGCTGGGGTCACCCAGGGAGGGGTCACCTCCTGCACAGCCCCCTCCCACTACCATGGCCTCACCTGTGAACAGGTGTGGGAATTTGATGGGCAGGATCACAGCTTCCTTCAGGGCTTCCTTGGCTCCCTCCAGCCCAGCCACATCGCTCCACCGCACGTTGGGCTTCTCCATCATGATGGCACCTGTGAGGGTGTGACTCGGCTCACATGGCCCCCAAAGTGGGCACGGAGAGCAGTGAGAGCCAGAGACCCTACCCATACCCGCAATCCCGCCTCCCCTCAGCTGTTTGGGGCGAGCAGGCCACAGGAACACGCCCCTGGGCCCCAGCCCCACAGCCTGTCCCCCTCCCCACAGCCACCCCTCGACAGGGCTGTCAGTGAATCCTCTTCAACCCCAGAGGACTGAACCCACCACAGCCCCTCTCACCCATCAGCTGCTCCTGCAGCTTCTTCTTCTCAGGGTTCTCGCCCTCGCTGTCACTGTCGCTCCTGGGGACAGGGAACAGGGTTCAGGAGCGGGACTGGCACGGGTGTTGCAAGGAAGGTCTTGCCAGCTCCACAGCCAGACAGGGGATCCCCGCCGCCCTCGTCCCCCACGCACCCCTTGTTGTCATTCTGTGCTTCTTTGACAGGCCTCTTGCCGTGCTTGTCCTTGCTCCGCAGGTACTCCTTCAGCTTCTCTGCCCGGTCCAGGTACTGCATGCACTTGGCTCGGATGCTCTCCTTGGCCTTGTCGCTGTGAGCCTCATCTGCAGGGACCCCCAGGCGTCACCCGGAGCCCCCCGAGCGCCGGAGCCCCCCGAGCCCCCGGCCGGACTCACATTTGATGGCGTGCAGGAAGTACTCCACGGCGTGCTGGTACAGCCGCAGTGCCTCCTCGTAGTTCTTGGCCTTGTCCTCCTCAGTGGCTTTGGTGACCAGGTCGATGGCTTTCTGCGAGGGGGCAGCGCCGTGAGCACCGGGGCCCGGCGGAGCGGAGCCCCTCCCCACCGCCAGGGCCCGGCCCGGGCCCGCTCGCACCGGGGCTCTTCCGCTGCGCCCACCTCCCTCCCCACCGCGCCGGCACCGGGGCTCAGCGGGGCTCGGCGACCTCAGCGGGGCGCTGCACCGGGGCCGGGTGAGGCCTTCCCCCGGCCGGCACGGCGCCGGAGCCCGGTGGGGCCTGTCCGCCGGGCCGTGCAGAGACCCCGCGGGAAGAGTGCGCGCTGTGGGCGCGGCCGGAGCCCCAGCCCCGTCCCGGTGCCCGCAGTCGGTACCTGCAGGGTGGACGTTGTCATCGCATCGCCCGGTGCGGCCGCTCCGGGGGCCCCGGGACGGCGGCGGCGGCGGCGGCGGCAGCGACTGCGGCTGCGCCCGGCCCCGCGCCCCCTGCCGGCCCCGCCGGAACCGCGATGAGGGGCGGGGCCGCGCCCCCGCCCGGTGCGCGCGTGCGGGGACCCGCCCACAGCAGGCGTGGTTTATTTAACCACGCCCAAAAATTATCATGCCATGGTGGAGGCGTGGTCTCTCAGAACACGCCCGTTTGGGTGACGTCATATTATGACGTGTGCTTTTACACCATCCCGCCCATTGAGGCCCCGCCCCACGGGCCCCGAGCGCGCGGGAACGCCCCAAAAACACGGGAGGGTGTCTGTGTGTGTGTGACTATTGCCGTGTGTTTGTGTGTGTGTCTGTGTGTGTGTGACTATTGCCGTGTGTTTATGTGTGTCTGTGTGTGTGTGTGACTATTGATGTGTGTTTGTGTGTGTCTGTGTGTGTGTGACTATTGCCGTGTATGTGTGTGTGTCTGTGTGTGTGTGACTATTGCCGTGTGTTTATGTGTGTCTGTCTGTGTGTGTGTGACTATTGCCGTGTGTTTATGTGTGTGTGTGTCTGTGTGTGTGAATATTGATGTGTGTCTGTGTGTGTGTGACTATTGCCGTGTGTCTGTGTGTGTGTGACTATTGCCGTGTGTTTATGTGTCTGTGTGTGTGTGTGAATACTGATGTGTGTTTATGTGTGTTTGTGTCCGTGTGTCTGTGCGTGTGTTACACGTTCACGTGTGTGTGCGTGCCCAGGTACACTCCCCTGTGTGTGTACTTGCACACACACTGCACATGTGTACGGTATTTACCTGTGCGCACACACACACACACACACCCCCAAACACCTGCAGGACCTGTGCCCACTGCTGTACCCACCCGTCCCACAG